TCTTTCCCTTGACTTTACATTGTAGACCCCACCCCCTGCTGTTATAATCTTTTCCTAAACATAATCTATGGCAACATTAATATTAATACACAACGTGAATATACCATAGTTGTAATTTTTATTGAGGGACACTTAGTTTCCTTTTTTGTTGTTGTTTTTTTTAAAATTATTGTACATAATTTTTTCAACAGTAATCAAAACTTAAAAATTTGTTTTTCATTAAAAGAATTTTTTTAGCTGCACCATGCAGCATGTGGGATCTCAGTTCCCCAACCAGGGATCAAACCCCTGCCCCCCGCGGTGGAGGCGCAGAGTCTTAACCACTGGACCGCCAGGGAATTCCCAATATACATAATTTTTCAGTGAGCACCCTTATGCATAAAGCTTTTACCAAATTTAGGGTAATCTTCTTAGTATATATTCCCAGAGGTGGAAGTGATCAACTTGATATCCACTGTCAAGCTGTTTTCCAAAAAAAGCTTTTACTGATACTTTGACCAGCATGGATGAAAAGAGCCAGCTTTTCGTGTGACCTTTCCTAGCCTGGGTCTTACTTAAAGGTATCTTTGCTGATAAGTCAAAACTGGTATCTTATTATGGGAATATAGGGCTGTTTGCTTTTTGTTCTGTTCTACATACAGAATTGTTCTGCTAAATTCAGTACCAGTAGAAGGAGAGACAAGAGAACTCACCACTCTGTGAAACGATTTAGACAAGAGTATTTTTCATTACTGTCTAGAAGCTCCAGCCCACCTTTTTTTCTTTTAGTTTTTTACACATTAAATATTCTTATTCCCAGTTATTTGTAGTGTCATTTTGAGAGCTCTGCTCCTCTATTCTTTTCTATTATAAAAAAAAAGTAGGTATTTCAGACCATCACTTGCATTTACCTGGTTGCCTCTTATTAAATTAGAATGAGTTGACAGTGAGCATTAGATGGAAACCGTGCCCATGAATGAAACCTGGTTTTTGCTTGAAACGTTCTCTTCGGTTGTAGGCTGCGGGTAGCCAGGGAGCGGACAGCCATCAGCTCTGGGTGGACGTGGCAGCATGTCCCGGGCACGTTTGGGAGCGAGGCCAGCAGCCCTGCTCTCTGAGGGGCTGAAGCCTTTTCAGGCCTGCTCCTCTCCTCCCTGGGTCCCTGGAGGACTTGGTTCTCAGGGTCAGAGCGTGCCCTCTGACTACTGGGCCTGCTCTTTCAGAAACCATCAACAGGTGTCTTAGGAAATATCTGGAACAGCTGAAGGCCCCTGTGGGGCCTCTTTCAGAAGCCCTTGGAAACCTGCATCTCGACTCGTCACCAGGTGAGTCAGATGTGGCCCCTGCCTCCGTCCCAGAAGATACCCCAGTCACAGGATCCTGCCGTTTGAAGTGTGTGTGTTACGGCGTTGGGAACTTTGCCACCTGTGTCATAGCTAGAAACCAGCTCGCATTTTTGCTTCTCTTTCTGGAAAAGTGCCAGGTAAACTTTGGTATCTTTCTTTATCGTCTCCTTCCTTGGTCTTGTGCACACAGATGTTGACTAAGCCACTCATTTGCCCTCTGCAGATCCCCAGAAGTCACTGCTGGGTGTATGACCCTCTGTTTAGCCAGCTGGAAATTGCGGTTCTTAGCACCCTTGGTGTGGTTGTTCTCAGTGAGAACGAGGTACGTGGTTTAAGAGAGGGGAGCAGGGAGGGCTGGGCAGCTGCTCACCAAGCTGACCCCAGGCCCTGTCCCTGGGCGCCAGGCTCTGTGACTAGCGGTGCCTCCTCCCCAGGGCGTCCGTATGTGGCCGGTCTGTTACCCCGTTTGGACCTATGTTGTGCCTGTCAGAAGAAGAAAATCACACAATGGCACAAACACGTTAGGTCTGCAAAATTCTCGTTGAGAATTGTGTCCCAATTTTATGCTTAGTCGGTATTTACTGTTGCTGCAGGAGAATAAAGAGGGCACAGTCTCCGCACCTCAAATGAGGTCCTGCCGGTTGGGACGTGCCCTGTCCTGGGGGAGGGAAGCCGTAGACCAGTCACACGCATAGCACCTGGCTGAGAGTTACGGCTAAGTCCTTGGCCTACCCTGCAAGGGTTGGGATTCAAGATTTCTGAGACCTCCGGATAAAACATCATTGCACAAGCCAAGGGCTGGAGCGACTCTATGCAGGTACCTCTACGTTTAGTCAGGCATTGTCTTGGGGATCACAGAATCATCATTTTGTTCCTCTCTGTTCTGAAACCGCCATCTCATTGCTTATTATGAAACATGAAAATTAGGCCCAGCTGAGAGGAGAGTCAGTCTCTGATGTTGGCGGGGTCCTAAAACACTGCCGTTCAGCTCAGGTCACCCCGAGCTCCGAGTGCCTGCTCTGTGCGAGGCAGGGAGCTCTGGGGAGCCCGAGGGTGGTGGGCACTGCTCTCCGCCACTGCAGGGCACGTGGCTGTGAACAGGCGCGTGACGAGTGGACAGCGAGCAGAGCCACGTCTGGGAACTGAGACGGAGGACACCTGTGCTCTTCCGGGGGCCCAGGAAGGCTTCCTGGGTCTGAGCTGGGATTTGAAGGTCTCCCGGGAGTTTGCTGAGAGCCAGGACTGCAGACTGCAGGCAGCCTGGGCAGAGCCGCTGCTCAGGAACCACGGCCAGTGTGTCATGGGCCGGGGAAGCTGCAGGGAGAGAAGAGAGGCCTAGGGTCGTCGGCGCCAGACAGCAAGGGCCAGGGGGCTTGTTCCTGCCGGAGAGGCGGCAGAGATGGCATAGAGCAGAGGTTCTCCAGAGGCGGTGACTGGACCCCCAGGGCACGTTTGAAGAGGACTGAGTTACGATAGGGATCTGCATAAAGTGACTCAGGAAAACACAAGTACCTGAGGGACAGTGACCTCTGCTGTCCCTCCATTCGTCCAGAGCCTTCTGCGTTCATGGGACACGCATTTGTTAAGTAAACGCGAGTTCTTTCTGGACGTCATGATTTCCTGACTTTTAGTCCCGTATAAGCCTATAGATTTTATTCCACAAGAGAACGTAGTCGTTTTCTTTCCATTTGATGCTGCAGTTCGCCTTCCCCTCAGCTCATCATTTGTCCACAGCTACATTGACCTGTGGTGACATGTAACGTGTAAGCTGAACGTGCACTAGTTGATGTGATGCATTTTTTTGTAAGACTGCAAGCGAGCTAACACATCCTTCAGCACCACACAGAATTACATTCATTTTTTGGTGGTGAGAAGTCACGGCTCATTATCACTCTGCCCTTCCCTGCCCTTCCCTCTCCCTCACCTTGTTGTAAGAAGTGTGTTTACATCTGTGCACGTTGTACCCCAGGAAGGAAAACGGAGTGTGTACGGCGAGCCCACCGTCTTTTACATGCTCCACTGTGGGACGGCGCTCTACAACAACCTTCTATGGAGGAACTGGTCCATAGATGCCCTTTCCAAGATGGTCATCATTGGGAACAGTTTCAGAGGACTCGAGGAAAGGTAAGCCTGGGAACACCGAGGTGCCACCAGGCCCTGAGATGAACCCATTCCTCAGACTGACCTGCAAGCAGGAAACATTTCACACTTGGAAAGGCCTTTCCATGGGAACCTGGACAGAGGGTTGGAGCTGGGAGACATCAGCCCTGAGTCAAGCTGGGAAGCAAGTTAAGGAGTCTTTCTGCCAATAATTCCTCCCTTCCCTCAGGACAGGCAGAAACGGCTTTTTAAAATGGGGAAAAAACATTTGATTTCTCTTCTTACAGCTGCATAACATCCTCCTGCTGCTTCATGATGCCTCGGTGTCTGCTGTCATTTTTCCCCTGATGAAATGGGTAGTGACTGGGGCATTCACACCTGCTACTAAATATTTAACCTACTCTGCATCCCACGTTTTTAACGAGATTTTTTTGATCTGTTTCAGTCACCTTGCCCTTCTGTGTCTTAAGTTGAATGAAACCACTCTCAAACCACCTAATCAGATTTTTAAAAAATTTTTGTTCTAGGTTGTTGACAAGGATTCTGCAGAAACATTATCCGTATGTTGCAAAGGTATCTGCCTGAGTTGAAGGGGCTGGGGTGGGACATCATACCATACATACCTCTCCATTACCCTGGAGAATTCTGCCTTCACCTGTAGTGGCGGGAGCTCCCAAGGGGCTAACCGAAGGCACAGCGAGGTTATAGCAGCACCGCCAGCTCTCGCCAGGGGTCTGTGTTCCAGAAAGCTAGGACATTTTAGTGCATCGCTTCATTTTTTCTTAATTATTTCCTCTATTCTTAGGTAGGCACTGCCCTTGGGGCTTCCAACTCATTACACAAAGCACTTAAAATAAATACCTTACTACTTATTTTTTTAAAAAAAGAATAACGTGGGAGAAAAAAGAATAACGTGGGAGGTGGGGGTGAACAGTAAAACGTGACTCTAACCCAGGAGACTCTAACCCAGGAGGGTGGGCCTTACTGGGACTCTCGTTTTACTTTCGAATTTTCCCGCTCAGATTTTGAAAGGACGGGAGGAGCTGGCATTCCCTCAGACCTCACAGTACACGGACGTATTTAATGACACCTCCGTCCACTGGTTTCCTGTACAAAAGCTAACACAACTTTCCACGGACACTTGGGCCTTCCGGGAAGAACCAGATTACCAGGACTGTGAGGGTCTCGAGATCATCAGGAACAAGACGGAAGACCCTTCTGCCACTGACTTGAACCCGGTGTGATGTGTCTGCTGAGGCAGAGGCAGTGACCACGGAGGGACTGCAGTGAGTCCCCTTTCAGACAGGGCAGGACGTACGTCAACTGTGATTTAAAATACTGTTTGTTTGTTTATTCACCGGTCGGTCCGTGGCAGGTGCTGCGGTCTACTTGGCCATGTCAATCAGGCTCTGCAGGGAGGTGGGCACCCAGGTCTTCTCCCCCTGCACGAACACCACGCCCCGATCGATGTAGATGACGATGCGGCCGAAGGTGTACAGCTGCTTCCCTTCGTGTCGCTTCCCGATGACGGGCATGAAGACGATGTTGTGCTCCTCGGCCTTGGTCTCAATGAGGTCTTTAAAGTTCATGGGCACGGAGCTGGCAGCCACGCCGATGCCTCTCTGGGCCATGTTCTCAGCCTCTCGTCGTTCCTGCATGGCCTCGTACTGGAAATCCTTCCTCCGCTCCGTGTGGGTGAGGTAGGCGATGTTCTCCCGTGCTCCGGGCTGCATGTAGGCACCTGGCAGATAGAGGGGGGGTGGGGTGAGGGACACGTCCCAACATGACAGAAATGGAGACGCCGACTTGGCCTAGGGCTGGGTTTGCCACAGGCGCCGGCGCCGTCTCCTAAGGCCTCCTGGTGCCTCAGAGCACTGGTTTAAAATAAACCAGATGATCGAGCACCTTGGGGGAAGCGTGGCCAGCTGGCTGCAGTCACATAAAAACACTTCTGCTTAATACCTAACAACCAGAGATTATTAAATAGTCCCCATAATAAAGAAGCATCAGCAAGGGATTCTTATGGGCCAGAAACCTTGACAGGCATTAGCCACTGTTCTGTTCCCTTCCTGCTAGAGTTTTCACTCCACACTTCCCCCAGGGCAGCTTTTAGAACCCTGAAGACATATGGCCTATACTAGTTAACATATGTAACTTACCCATGCAGGCCCCTAGCCCCTAGCCCCGGAAGAACTTTATATCCGGGGAGCTGAAACACAGATGTTTCAGCTTCACAGATGAAGGGATAATACAGGACCATATTTGCCTCATTAAATGCAGTTATGTGTCTGTCTATGAATTCTAAGTAGAAAGAATTAAAGCCTCGCCTCGGGAGGAAACAGAAATTACAATCCCAGCTGCCACTCTGTAGTTCTGTGACCTTGAATGAGCTCTTGACCTTCTCTGTGAAACACGGCTAGACTAGGTGCTCCATTGGCCTTTGCTTTGAGATGTGAGCACACTCTTCACAGAGGACTGGCTCAGTGGCTCCTGGACTTGCCTAGAACTGAGTAGTTCGGGAATAGATAGTAACCGAACAGTCAGCTGCCTACTTCTGACACACCAAAGACACCACCTACTGAGTGCCATCCACGAACAGTACCTTGGTCCCCCTAGGTGCTTAATAAAAACCTGGAAGTGGGTCCTTACTACTGCTTTACGGGTAAGAAGTTAAGCAACTACTAAGTGTTAGACTGTCACCCAGCTCCACACCATGAGCTGTTACACTGGAGTGGCCACAGAACGCCGGCCGGGCAGACATGCCGAAGAGCCCAGACGGAGCTTGAGTGAGTGCCCATTCAGGAAGAACGCCCCTCCCAGCCCCAGGAGGTGGGGGAGTGGCTGCTAGCTAAATAAGCACATGATGGGTCTCGCGGGCAAGAGTCTGTGTGCCCTGGAGGCGACGGCGAGCCCACTGGTGCCTGAAAACTCTGTGTCATTTCCATGCTCAGAAACGTGGAGCTGGCCCGGGATCTCCGTAAAATGGAACCCTCACTCACCGACATTGGAGGACACCGCCCTGTTCATGATATCAAGTGCCTCGTTAAATTTGTCCTTGACGGATGGGTGCGCCAGCACTTGGTCTGAGAACATGGACTTCCAACCCAGGTACCACTTGGTGATCTCCTCGTAATTTGGGCTGTTACTGAGCCAGGAGCACAGCACCTGCCAAAAGGGAACACATAAGAAACCTGCATCCACAGTGGCAACAAAGGGGAGCAAAACTTCCAAAGGGGCTACTCGTTTTGTTTGGGTCCTGCTCCTGCGAGCTGATGATACCTGCAGGGGGTCAGCTCGGTAGCTAAGTGCCCTGCATGTAAACTGCACCTGGGCCTCCCACCTACACACGCGATACCAGTCCCCACCTTACAGGGCTGCTGTGAGGAGGTGAGGGTAATCAGACTGAGACCAAGTGCTTAGACCAGCATCGGGCACGTGGCAAATGTCCAGTAAAGTGGTGCTCGCGGTTCCTGCCCGCCTCATTCTCACCTTGCCGTGTAGTTTACCTTCACTGTGTGGCCACAGCACTGCCACCCAAGGCTCCAGTGACTCCCTCCCGGTCCCCAACGCACCCCAACAAAGCGAACCTGAAGCCACTTGGGGAAGAAGTGCTTTTCAAGAAGCCCCACGAGGCTGGAGACAGAGATCATCCCTTCCCAGTCGATGACCCAATAAAAAGCATCCATGTGCTGCTGGTGGGGGTTGATGACCAACTCCCCGAGGCACATCCCTGGAAGAGAAACCCAGCGTCTAAGGCAAAGCCACACAGCAGCGGCATCACCAGACAATGTCGGCATTCGATCTGCTTTTAAAGGTCAAGTTTAAGCTCTTGTGGCAATTCTTAAAAATTGTTTTCTTCTCTAATCCAGAAATAGCTCTATTTTTAGAATCCAGTATGACAACAATTTCAGAATACCTGTGGCTATACTGTCAGCAAAGGCCCGAACTGGACCAATCAATCAGGAGGCAGGCAGGGTCTGATGTGATTAGTGCAGAAAGGGACCTGGTTAACATTTATATTCGGCCTCAGTGCACAAAACGCCACCTCTTATACTGAGAAATGTCATGCGCTCAGAGCTCAAAGGCCATGTTTTTAAGCAGCACCATCATTACCGCCAGCCACAGAAACCAGGCACCGAAGCTGCTCGACTTGGACGCATCTCCCGTCCCGTTTCCTTACCCAGTTTGGGCACTATGTTCTTGACCATGAATGCTTCCCAGGAGCCGGGGGTGAAGACATCTTTCCAGGGCTGGAGGATGAGCTTGGCCGAGGAGTCGCTGGGGTGCCACTTCTGCAGGGCGCTGGCCAGCTTGCTGCGGATGGGGGAGTAGAGCGGCTCCAGGCGCGCCTGCATGAGAGGCAGCCACGGGTGGATCCACGAGTGGATGGGGACGGTGTCTGTCAGCGGGTTCCAGTTTTCCACCTGCAGGAGCGGGGGAAAGGCAGCAGTGAGAGGATGAAGAGAAATGCGAAACGAGCCCCCGTGCTTCCTGATGACAACCGTTTCCCATGCCCGGCCCACCTCCTTCTGCAGCTTGGGGAAGACGAGCTGGTCCAGGATGTTATCCAGGATCCACACGGGAATGATGTGCACCCAGCTATCCAGAAAGTCCACCATCGGGTCGCAGTTCCTCGGTTGCCAGTGAGTGACGATATTTCGAACAAATGGCATCCAGACTTCCCATATCAGCCTACGCGAGAAAGGCAGAGGGCAGCGGGCTAAAAGCACTGACTGGTTTCCACGTGTGCAAAGTACATCGCCACCTACCTCTAGGGTAAGGAAGAAAATGGCAACAGCAGCGCAATCCAGTCACAGAAAACCACCAGACCAGCCCGTGTGTTTGGCCAGACGTGTGCCTGCCTCGACCCCGCTCTCCTGGCCGCCCACTCGGCCTTGGGGCCTGTCTCCTCAGTAGCACCTGCCTCCCTGGCAGGGCTGCTGCCGGGTCCCGCCCCCCCAAGTGTCATGTGCTTCCCCAGCTGGAGCTCTATCTGCACAGCCGACGCCCCTCATGCTTTAGGGTCACAGCTTCAACGTCACCTCCCCCGAGAGACCTGTGCCCCCCCTACAGGTGCGCATACACAGGTGGGCACCCTTGTCATTCTCTACTGCTGGACCCAGGTGGCAGCCTGGATTTATCTGTCCACTTGCTTGGTTACCACCTGCCTTTTCCCCTCACTGGAGACAGGCCGTCTCTTCACTCCCAGGGTAAGGCAGCACAGAGCACAGGCAGATCCTCAACGGCCACTTGACAGGTGTGGGGTGAACTAATGAATTTAAATTCCCCAAGCAGCATCGGCACGTGGCCAGGGCTCATACAGGCAGTGGCCCCCGTCCCCCGCAAGGAGCACCTGTGGAAGGCGTCTGCCGAGAGGTCCTGCCCGCCGTGGGACAGCAGCTGGTCGTTCTCCAGGAGGCTTTTCCACTTGGAGATGATCTCGGTGCCGTACGTACAGTCCTGAGGAGAAACACAGCAGCTGAGAGGCAGCCGGCTGATGGCCCCCTTGCCCCCGGGGCCTGCGCCGGAGGAGAGGCAGCGCGGCAGACTCCCCACCCACTCACCTTGAGGGGGTCCCACTCCTTGAAGTGGTCCTTCATGAGCGGGTAGACGATGGCCACGGCCAGGTCCACGCGGTCGGACATCCTGTACTCCTCGTAGTACTTGTCCTGCAGGGTCTCGAAGATGCGGGCGCACTCGTCCAGGGTGAGGGGGTCACCGCAGCCGGGCTGCAGGCGCCGCTCGCACTCCTCCACGAGCCCCAGGACCTTGCTCAGGTTGGAGATGGCCCGTTCCTCGTGCTCCAGGACCTCCGACACCTTTTCCAGCTCGTGGGACAGGTTGACCACCATGTCTCGCTCGTACTGCAGCTGCCGGTCGTTCTGGATGATCTCCTGCTCTGTGAGGTCGATGAGCAGCTGCAGGTTGTGCTCCAGCTCCGGCAGTGCGAAGCCGGGGGCCTTGGCCTCCTTGCCGGGCTGGGGCAGCTGCTGTGACTGCAGCGGGAGCCCGTCGTCGGGGACGCTGTGCTTGTGGCTGATCTGGCTGTAGCTGTAGTAGACCTTCTGCTCCCGGCCCGTCATGTCTATGACCTTGGAGAAGGCAGCAGAGGGCACGCAGGTTAATGCTCACCACTGCTGCTCTGTTAGACACACACCTGAGCCCGGGGAAGGCACGACGCTAGTGGGAACGTGTCAAAACCACACCGTTCAGCAGAGCTGGAGAAGGGCGGTGTTTCTCAAAGTGGGGCCTGGGCTGCGCTAGATTGGAAGCGACTCCACGGACAAAACAACCAGATACAAACCACCAACCGGATGGAGAAGACTTAGCAAAACTGATGCAATATGAATGTGGACTATTTAGATGAGAGGAAAATCTATTTTCATGGGTAAGTAGAGGCTGTACTGATCACAAAGCAGGCAATGGGACAACAAACACAATCAAAATCGTATTTTGGTTAAAAAAAATGCATATTTAGACAAAAACACCTGGAAGGATGTACATCACAGGTGTGAAAACCAGTTATTTATGGGAAAGGAGAGTAATTCTAATATTTTTGCCTCTATTTCCTAATTGCCTAAAGCGTACTGCATACTGCTCTGTAGTAATAGCTTTTTTCATTTAAAAACAACATGAAACATACAAAAGGCAACCGAGGAAATGAGCTAACTTCAATGTCTGAAGGAGACTGAGGAAACGAGAACGTGGCTGTGCTGAAACAGAAGCATCGCCATCACCTGAGGTGAGAGTGTAATCTCTGAAGCGTCAAATACCTGGGGGAAAATAACTGAGCATGAGGCCTCAGGCCCCATCTAGACCTGGACATCTGCGCTTCTCACCAGGTCCCCAAGTAACCTGATACACAACACCCTGACCTTCGAGAACCCACTCGACTTTCTGTAATACACACACACACTGTATCTCCTACGCTATGTCCCCTACAACAGACATCTGTCACCAATGTTCTCTGGCCACTAGGGACAGTGATGGAAAAGCTCAGAGGCTATCCGTACAGAACAGTGGTAATCATCTTAAATGCAATGCTGGGACGCCCTGAGGGCCCACTCCTGCTCGAGCAGTGAGTTAGTGCAACCTTCCCACGATTTAAGAGCCTTGAAGACTTTAACCTGTGACTGCACTTCTAGGAATCTATCCTTAACAGCTGTAAAACAAAGACAAGGCTTTATACACAAACTAACCTGCCCCAAACCAAACCAGAAATGTTAAAGGTTTCTAGCAACAAGCAACAGAATGACAGGAGCATCATTAAATTCACTGACAGCAAGCTCCAGGAAGCTGGGGACATTGTTCGATTTAGCACTCTCACGCCACAAGGAGTGCTTGGCACAGGAGGGGTGGGATGGCGATGAGCCTGAGCGTGGTGAGCGTGAGTGCGGGGAGTGGGCACAGGCTGCTTCATGCCACAGAAGCAGCACACACACAGCCGGGATGGAAGGCCCGCGGGAACCTTACGAGCAAACGTTCGGTGACTGCTCTGGTGTGTGGGGTAACTTTATTTGTGTCTTCCAAGCCCCCATCCTGGACCAGGCATCCACGGGCCCCATACCTTGACCTGAGAAAGCTCCTTCTGGGGAGCAGCGAGCTTCTTGCTAATCCTGCCCTTGGCTTTCAACTCTTCCACTGTCTTGTAAGAGTATCTGGGCTTCTTCTTGCTTCCACTGGGGTCTTTCCTCCACTGGCTCAGCTCCTTCTGAAATTCCTGAGTCAGAGGGATACAGTCCATCACAAGAAGAAAGGGCCACTTTTTACCACAGGTGGGGTCGGTGAGACTTTCACAAGGTTCTGTGCTGAGCACCGTGCTGTGTAACACTAAACCCAGCCAAGGACACTGCTTGACACCCGCTCCCCGCCCTTACCAATGCTGAGACCCCTTCCCCACACATCCAACCTTAAGTTCTCCCCAGGACTTCCTGCAACCACACTTTGGTTACTTGTTGACCGCGTCCCTGTCCACCAGGCTCTACACCCGTTCAGCGTAGGACACCAGCCTCCAGCACGGTGAGTGGCACGCGGTAGCTGGGCGAGTGAGCGAGCAGATGAACAAACACCAGTTGAAAGGGGCACAGACAGCACCCGGCCTGTCTCTCCTGACTCACCTCCTCGGCTTCTTCTTCGGAGTCAGCCATGGGGAAGTCTTGCAGGGGCTGAGTGGTGCGCTCCGAGCCGTATGCCCCCACGGCGCCCTTCCCCTTTCTCTGCTTGGCTTCGATTGGGTTGATGATACCTGACAAATTTCAGCAAAAGACAGAGACTATTTCAGCAAAAGACAGAGACTTCAGGTCACGGCAGTTGCCACGTGTGTGAGCCACTCTGGGGGACCACACTCCTGGGTCCTTACTCAAGACGATGCACCACCCAGGAAGGAGAGTGCACTTCTGCCCTCATAACACTGTTCCGCTCCCGGGTGACCGGAAGTGTCTGTGCATTTATGCTGCCACAGAGCAGTGTGCGGATATCACCGCATGCATGTCCGAAATACAGATTTCCATTTCCACTTGGATTCATTTGTTTAGTGGATGGGAATATTCATTTACAGCTGGAAGCTCTGGCATACTAGAGTCTACACTTTGTTAATTTGGAGGCCCATTATAACTCGGGTAATATATTAATTCTGATTAAAGTGAGGTGGAGCTGCCATTTAGTATGGAACCCCATCTATTTTACTTAGTACTTCATGTCCCCCATGCTTAACCTGTTCTATAACATGTTTAAGCCTTGGAAATAAATGTGTCTTTCCTGTAAAAAAGTTTACAAACAGGACTACAACATTTCAGTGAAGAACTGCCCTCACCCCAAACTTCCCCCCACACCCCTTCCAGCTACTACTGTGGAAATGCCACATTAGAACGTCACGTCCCTCACGCATTCCAGGTCACCTTTTCCATCTTCACTCAAGTCCATGGGTTCTTCATACAGCTAATAGTTAGTTACCTGTCCTGCCCCTTTGTGAGCAGGGACCACAGACTCATATGCCTTCAGGGCCCAGAAACATTAACAGGAACAAGGAAAGTGGGCTGGGGTGTGGAGAAGGCTTCCAGAATAAGGCCGCGGCTGCTACCTGGGGCAGGAAGATTCAGCGAAACCACTCACTGCCAAGCAAATCTAGAATTCAGATTTTTAAATACTGGCAAGCAATTTGATTTTTTTGGAAACAATGGGCGGGACAGAAAGAAGCCTGTTCTCAGCCCATCAGCCTGCAGCCTATTTGAACCCTAACCTCTCCCTCCTGCTAAAATAAGTGTATTTTATGTAACTTGAGTTCTCTGATAAAGTGCAGTGGCTTGGAGCACAACCTGTCATGTGCTGCCAGAAAAGCGAAAAAGCAGAGAAAAGGCAAACCACGCCCCAGCTGCTCTTCTGGCCTCTGCCTGGCCGCCCTCCTGTGAGACGGTGGAGTGGGGGTACCACACCTTGTGCGTTCTTCCCAAGGCCTCTTCCAGGGACATAGCCCATCTTCTGAAGAAGCTTCTGTCCAATTCCTTTTGTGTGTCTTTCCCAGCTGCCAAAATCCAGGAAAGACTTGGTTCCTCCTGCAAAACCTTTCTGGCTGGGTTTAAAATTGCCACCCTGAAAAGAAGAAGAAAAATCAAAAGAAGGAAAAACCTAAGAAAGCAAGAAGCTTGGCTGACGGAAACATGGCCTGGCAGTCACAGCACTGTGAAAAGCATCCTATTGTACAAACCAAACATATCTGTGATGTGTCTCAGGAAAGAGACAAGACTGCACTGCACATCACCCCTCAGGGAAACCTACCTCACAGGGAGACACCCACACGAGCGGCCTCCGGCTGAACCCCTCCCCCAGCAGGTGCTTGGGCCAAAGCGATCTTCCAGGGGTATTATTACTAAGGTCACAATCCTTCAATAAAAATGCTACCGTTTTTAACTTCTTTGGTCCGAAATCCTTAGGAAATTCATCCTGCTTAACAGGTTTCTCCTCATCATCGGAGCCTTCCAGCTCCGGCTCTTCTGCCGCCCCTTTCTTGAGCCCCGCGCTGATGAAGTTGACTGGCGCCGAGTAGTCGCGGGCCCTGCAGGCAAACACAAGGCCCCACGGGGTCCATGAGAACTCTCTGCAGGCATCCCTTGGAGCAGCTTTGCTGGCCAGAGAACTTCCTTAGAGCGGACCTCGTGGGATCCATTTTAAAGACCAACCCATTGACTCGTATCAAAAGGGCCCCAGTAATCACGTTTGACATTTTTGCCTGATGTGTTCAAGGCAACTCCGTGGCTTAAGAGTTACCAATAACAGAGTTGGCTTAAAATTGTAAATATGACGTGACTGTCCACCTTCCTTTTACGTTTTTAAAAAATTAACTTACTTTAAAAAGCATCTGTGACATTGAGTCGAGATGGCATCCCCCGCAAGACGCCAGGAGCACGTGTACAAATGGAGCGGCTCTCAGAGAACACCTGCTGGACACCAGCAGAGGACCTCGGACACCAGAAAGGACAAGAAGGAGCTCCGCGGAACCAGGTAGGACAAAGAAAGGAAAAAAAAAAAAAAAGCAGCAGGACAGGACCTGCGCCCCTGGGAGGGGAGGTCCCGTCACCGGCAGAGAAATCGGCCGGGACAGAAAAGGAGCTTCGGGGGCTCAGAGGAGAACGCAGCAACCGGTCCGTGACAGGCAGGACAGAGTGAGAACTAGGCGGACGGTCTGTGCCACAGCCCTACACACCCCCCCCAGCCTGAGGCCTGTGCCCTGGGACGGGCAGGGGCTGCGTGCCCAAAAGTGGGGTTTAAACAACGGACCCGGGGAGGGGCCTGCTGCTGGCTGTGCAGAGACAGGCTGTAGGGGTGGGAGCACGGAGCTCTGCAACCAGGAATGCTGGTGAAAGCAGCCCAGGCCGCCACGGAAGTGAAGTGCCATTTTTAAGAGGCAAACAAAGCGCAGGGCCACCACCGCAGCCTCTTCCCCCACGCACGGCCCCTGCCTCCCCGGGCTCCGGGAGGCGCTCCTGTCGAGGCAGCCCGCTCGCCCAAGCCAGCTCGTGTGCTCCAGCAGCCTCGGGAGCAACCTGTGGGTGGCCCACACGCAGAGGTGGGGCCGAAGCCACAGCTGAGCCCCAGGGGCCCGGAAACTACGGAAGAAGAGCTGAAGTCTCTCCTTGTGGCTGCGCGAACTGGATTTACACCTCCGCTGGGGGCCTTATAAACTCAGCTCC